CCATACTTGTACCAAAAATACGGTGTGGAATCAAGCTGTAATCAAAAATAAAAAAGAATAAATTAAAAAAATTATTAATTGCGACATACATGTCAAGCATGTACAGAAAAATGGCAACACTAACGATAGGGAATTCAAATCATCAGTAGTACTTCCGTACAAAGAATGAACCTCTTTAACCTTACGGAGACGTCTTAACAATGTAGGAATAAAGGTGGCTGGCATTCAAACCCACAAATTTAATTAGAAACAAGTTTTATCGGCTGAAGGATCCTGTGGAGCCAATTAAACCAAGCAGTGCAGTTTATCTATTACCCTGCAATAATTATCAAGTCAAAGTAGTAGAACAGGGTCAGTTGGACTAGTGGAGCACAGAAACCCGCCGAAATCTAGATTAGTTTACCCGAATAAGATAAGAAATCTAGAAAAAAGTTCAACCATAGACAGCACTACATGCAATTACACACAACCGTACACTGTGATGGGATAAGATGACATTTCTAAAATCTAATGTCACAGGGTGGGGAAGAGATTGATAACAGATGCTTTGCTTGTCGAATCAGCTGCAAACACGTGTAATAGGAATGATTCAACACTTGTCTCAGACATATGGAAAATTCTACTAGCCCTCCGATGACAAATAGGAAAGAAAACTATAAAACTCAAGTTTCAAAGTCGTGTGATTATAACTGATATGATTATGAACAGCAATAAATTGTATTCGAAATGTCATCTGGTATATAATGCTGTTTCGCTATGTGATATACCTAGCAGGCAGAATATTTCATGCGTTTATTCCCCTTTATGATTTTGAATAAAGCAAAAACAACAGTTTGTGCAGAAGTCAAATTTGGAAACTCCTGCCAACTGACATCATGGAAAATTTTCAAGTTGTAAGCAGCTGATGAGAAGTCAACGAGATAACTGATGGCAACATGTTATTCTGCACAAAATGTTCTTTTTGCTTTATTAAAAACAAAATATTATGCAGTGATTATAATTTACGTCTGTGGATTTATTAATTTCATGAGAAATTCCGTTTTGCAGGTAATAATTTATGGCCTATTCAATAAACTACTGTACTTGTCTTACTACTTGTCACAATTGTCACATTCTCTGCAAATAAGCTACATTTCTATGAGAGTGATCGGATAATATTTTAGTTCATTTATCTTTGAAACTTATTGGTGAATATGCAAAAGCTTGAAACTATGACTTCATAGATTGTTTCCTAGTGTCATTATAACTTTCAGTCTGCTTGTGTGTAAATATGATTCACATAGAGAAATTACAGTATGCATAGAACCATATACTATTGATTCAATAAGATGAGTAGTTGAATACCACTAATATCAATCCATAGTGCTTGCTAGTTAGCCAGATCGAGGTGATCTTGACATCAGACCACCGTTTTACTCGTTTGGAGCTGAGTTCATTAGCCGTATACCACTATTGGTAGACATCAGTAGTGCACAGCTACTTATCTCAGCCAATAAGTAGTATATATATTTTTGTGCAAATGTGGTTTCTTTCTTGATTACCATTAATGGTGACAAGCAGATCACATGTTGTAATATGATAATATGCTAGAACAATCATCTTGAACTGTGTACATGGCAAATTGCTAACCAATTTGTAAATTCATAATTTCAAATGATATTATTTTGCTAATATAACAGTTATCTAACGGAAAAAGAATAAATTAAAACATAGAATAGATAATTTAAAATTAGATAATGAGGAGAAAATAGTTAGTTTATTTGACATTGTCAGTTTATATACAAGTATACCAATAAATATGGCTATAGAAGCAGTCAGAAACGAACTCATATCTGACCAAGAACTCGAACTTAAAACGAAAGTGCCACTTGAGAACATAATGCTGGCAGTGCAGCTATACCTGACTTCCACAGTATTTAAATTCCAAAGGAAAATATACAAACAAACTGAGGGAGTTGCCATGGGATCATCAATATCCCTTGTTTTAGTAGATATATTCATAGACAAGGGGGAAAACATAGAGTTTGAAACATTCACCCTCACCCCACATCGAAGTATGGTGGAGGTATGTAGATGACACATTTACTGTACTTAGAACACAGGATTTAAATCTAATCAGGTTATAAAGGATGACAGTCATCTTCTCTATTAGCTATTCTGACTTACGTTTGAAGGGAGTATTCAATATAACGCCATCGAATGTCATGCCAAAAGCATTAAGGATAAATTAGCCAAAAGTATTAATCAATAGAAGAATGTTGATTCTTCATCCTTACGTATCATGTTTCACTCAATGATTCTTAATATTATTATTTTTTGTTAAACAAAAACAACAGCTCATCATTTAATGACAATTTAAATTAAATGTATTTTGTTTTCTCATTCACTTATATGTCAGCAGTAAGAAAAAATCCCAGTTTTGAGATAGTAAACATTATTTTTTGTTGCTCAGGAGAAAGATTATTTTTGGCACGAATAGCAAGCAGTAGTGAATGATTAAGATTCGTGTCTTAGTATGAATATCAATTCCCACGAAGCTAGGCCTATACTTAGCTGATGATTCTTTTTCTAATGAGGAAGAAATCTGGGTCTAGGATTGCCTCTAACTGTCTAACATTATAATATTGTTATATTCTCTCTAGGTTGAATGGCTTCACGGTGGAATTGTCGAGAATATATTGAGTACTTCACTTAAATATATATGTTTGCACTCTTTTGTTGTTTATTGCAATTTTTTAAATATCCGGTATGCTTCAGCACTTGTTTAATGTTTATTTGATAAGCAGGCATGCGAGAAATAATCTTTTTTTTCTACCTGACTATACTACTTTCTTAAAAATAAAGTATTTACCCTATTCGGCCCTAATTCGTGATTACATTCAAGTGAGTGATTTGCAATGGCGGAGGGCAGGCTGAGTGATCTAAAAACATCTTCACCATTATAATACATTTACTTGTATGCAATCACATACTGAGGTGGGATAAATTATATGTATTAAAAAAGTCAGGTGGGGAAAGAGGTTAATCACTGCAACTTTCTTCATCGATTTAACGTCAGATATGTGCAATGGAAATGACTCAACCTTTCTACCGAATCTTTGAAAAACTGCAGTAGACAACCTAGGAGAGAAAAATATATAAAGCAAATTACGATGCCTTGACAGTACGTCAATATGATTATGGTCAATGAACTGCATACTCTGATTGGCAACTGGTTAGTAACTAGGCTAATGTGTCTAGTCCTTTGTTTGTTGCGTAGAGATTTCTATCGGTCATGTTTGCAATATGGCGACCATTCTAGGGGTTTCGCCGTTATGCTACACTTTTGAACTGTTGATATCAGTAGGTTGGAGGGAATCAACAGGAAGCATTGGATCTAGGTTTCGTACTAGTTAGAGCTTGTCAGCAAGGCGTACCCTTGGCTCTGAAGGAACAAATCATGTCCCGTCTGAGATTCGAACCTGTGTAACCCAGTGCTGGAGGTAGAGACGTAATGCTCAATATCAGCAATGAACTGTGCTCGAAGAGTCATCCATTTGTTAATCCTGGATCGCTATGTGTTATATCAAATAACCTTTTCTAAAATGAAATTATATCCTACCACACTGTCCATTACATTATTATATTTAGTAACTACTACATATAAATTTCGTCAAACTTAAAGAATGCATCATAAGTGAAAGAGAGCCCAGTTCTAAAACGAAACTAAATATAACTGCCAGTGAGAACACTATCATTACTCACTAGAAATGAGGACACATAATTATAACAAGTCACAAGTAGGAAGAAAAGCGTATCCTGGACCATATCATTAGTCGCCATTAACCATAAATGTCTCAATTTAATCCTTAGGCATTTCTGAAACGTCTGTACTAGGAACCATCGTGACCAAAGAAACCTAACATTTCACTCCAGTATCGTCAATCAATGGGAAATGAAAATTGGTCTAAAAACTGTGATGAGAGTTTCAAATTATGTTTTGAAATACTTATCAATGCATCAAAGAAGCGTTAAATTCCTATGAAGGTATGGTGTGTCAACATTGTGATTTCATTCTGCTATGTAGAATAAATCGCCTCTTACAGTAATCTTGATATATATATATATATATCTTCAGCAGTACGCACACACCGGCAGGGGTTCGAACCGAGGACCTTCTGGTTACAAGGCGAGCTAGCGCGTAGACCATTAAACATTTGGGACCTAATCCAATAGACAGCCCATGGATTTTGGCTTCTGTCAATTCATGGCATAGAGTGACCACTTCGCAATGTCTTTTTCGATAAGTTAGTCCCTCACCTTCAACCTGCTGCACCCTACCGGTCATGGCTTCCCACTAGAATTCTAGGTTAACTGCCTGAATAGAGCGAGTCGCTAGTGAGCATCAGATTTTTCTCAAGTATTGGTTTTATAGGGATTTTGTTTGATTAGTTTGTTTGAACTCCGGTTGATGCGTACTCCTGAATAGTCACAAACTGGGACGAAATAGCTGTCCAGTACTCCTAGGTGGGATTTCCGACGGTTCTCTACCTGAGGTCAGCTCACGATAAAGTCCTTCAACCAATCGAACACAATCCCTACAAAACTAATACTTGAATATATATATATATATATATATCTGATCAAAAAAATCAGTCTCCATTGAATGTTTCTTACAAGCTATACTTGGCAGCATATATATTAAAACAGTAAATTTATTTTAACTTTATTGTGACTACTCAATTTATCCCAGATAATTGTTACTGTTCACTTGTTTGTATATGCATATGTGTGTTTGTGTTTATCCGATCATTTTCATTGTTTTAATGCAATTGAAATCCCATTTTATATGCTTTAACAGTGAATACGGAAAATGATTGGTCAGTGGATAGAGAATTTCTGATTGGTACTTTTGTGAAAAAGATAAACAGATAAATAATAGAGTCAGTTTCACGCGAAATGGTAGATGTAGTAGTCACAGGTGGAACTGCGTTTGCATCGGTTCTATTCTTATGTTATAAATGAAGAAATATTACATTGAAGTTATATGTATTTTATTACAACTGTTTGTGTTAAGTAATATAATTCAAGTTACAAAATCATCAACATTCAATGAACTCAAATTACAGTCTACCATATCTAATAACAAAACATGTAACACTTCAATTGGGAGTTGTTATTGTGATGAGATGTGTACAATAAAGTCTGATTGTTGTGATGATTACCAAAATTTCATCGAGCAGAAAGATTTAAGAAATATATCAAGTATGCCTCGACATGACTGTATTCATACAGCTCGAACATTTGCAGACGACAGGGATCTAGAAAAACATGGTGGTTGGTTTATGGCTGTTGCTCATTGTCCATCTGGTACAGGAATAGAACTGGTTAAGCGTTGTACTAAATCTAAAGATTTATTTATTCATTTCGACGATTACACAGTGAAAGGCAATTTAAACAGTAGTAAAATTGCACGAAAATTTATTTCGCTTGATTTGACTTACCTAACATTTCGTATAAGGAAAGAAGATATTAGGCTGATGGCACCAGTTGTATCTAAACTTAATGGTCGCGTATATGCTAATATTTATTGTGCTTACTGTCATAATGAGCTAAATTCAGTTGTCACAGATGATGAACTAATGGGATCTACTTTTGAGGAACGTCTTTACATGTTCGGTGTGTTTGTACGTTGTCGAACATATCAAGATACAGATAGACTGTGTGTTGCTAATTCACAACTACCCCGGAGTTTGAGACGACCATGCGATAACAAAAAGTATCTGAAACCTAAAAGTACACAAGAAGTGTTCAGTCTAAGTGATTTCAAATGGCATGAGTTCCTAGTTATGCCACAGAATTATCTTGAATTAAAATCTGATGATGGTCGTCCAGCGGAGGATAATGAAACTTTGAGAATCATCGAATCTTTTCTAGACATACTTCAATTATTGGTATGTATATTCTCAGCTCTAAGTCTTTGTGTGCTAATTATTGTGTATTCAACTACGCGTGAATTACGACGTCGTATTTCCAATCAACTAGTTATGGGATTGGCAACGTCTATGCTAGGATTGTTATCAGTCTATTTAACACTACCGCTGTTGATTAATCAAAAAAGCCGTTCAAATCAGGGTAATTGTCTTACAATGGCAGTGTTATTGCACTACTTTTTTATTGGAACCTTCGCATGGATGTCAACGCTTGCTCTGAGTCTGATGAATACATTTGGAGGAATTCAGACGTGTCATATATGCTTCATTTATCTCAAGCAAAGGCTAACACGATCAGGAGAAAATACAAATTCTTTGAGTCAAATGAAAGTAAGTTTACGCTGATGATAATTTGATTTACTTTTGTTCACACTGAGCTCCATATTTCAGTATGCTGAGTACTATTACACTTTTAACATTTAGACAAATATGTGTAGGTGATCAATTGAATGATGTATTTCTGAGAGAAAGCGCTGTTGATAAGAGAGCAGCGAATGCATATCTCGTTATTTGTAGAAGTCTCACTTTTACAGGTTGTCACTGAAAAACTTTACATTGTTTGTAAAATTCACTGTGAATTGTGACTGTCACTGGTTTGTTGGGGGTGCTTGATGCTAGTAAAATCTACAAGAATCGAAAGGATGTGATTTAAAATATGTAACTTCTTTATTTACACTAGATTCCATCATAAATACGACTATACATATTAATCTTTGGTCAGAACAAATAACCAGTATGTCAGTTGTATAAGTGACTGGTTAATTGGGAAATACTAAAGACTTACAATTTTTCGGACCTTGTGACGCATATTTAACTTTACTGTCGGACAGTAAGACCAACTGGACAAAGGATAAGTACGTTAGGGAATAAGACGGCATATCGAGGAGAAAAGTTCAGTCAGATAGCCTCTCACTGGAAAACAACATCACAGATGATGACTGTGTGACTGATAACTACGCTTCTTAGGTATTAACTGATTTGGTCTGGAACAGTATACTGCTCAGAGCATATTTGTGTGAGTGATTGTTCAGAAAGTGAGTTCCAGGCGGACCTTAATGAGATAGATTTTTTGTATCTTTAAGCGAGATTAGTTTGAAAATAATTTCCCTAAATTTACAAGTTGTTCTTATGAAATTGAATAAGCTGTGTGCGAGGAGAATATACTATTTTGACTACTACAAAAGATTTTCTGAATTCTTGAACAGACAAGATTGGTTATAGTGAAGATACTACTTATCTTATTTGTTACGAGTGACCATTAATTAATTATGTCGACTGTCTTATTTTCCTTTCAATTTTCGTAGGGTATGATGACTCGAACAGATATGCGAAATCAATCAAAGCCTATTCATCGGCGTACATTATTCTCGATGTTATTTGCAATAGCTTTACCATTGTGCTTTGTTGTGCCTGCATTAGCTTTGAACGAATTTTATCGCTTCAATCCATGTCGTATAGGCATAGACGAAGATCATTATCTTTATTCTACAATTCTGGACAGCGGTAAACAAATAGCAAACTGTACAGATACGCTGAAGCAGATAGAATACTTCAGTCCAGGTTTCTGTTCAATAGAATCTCATAAACGACCATGGTTTACAAAACATGGGGTTTTATTGTCTGGTTTTTGACACCCACTACTTTGCTGTTAGTATTCAATTCTGTTGTGCTACTATTAGTCGGTATGTATATTTGGCTGGTGAATAAAAACAAAACTCTTAAATCTCTCAATGAAAATAAACCACTTGAAAAGGATTCTAAGATAAGTAATACGCCGGAGAAAAGTAATCGTAACATGATGAGAATATGCTTGCATCTGTCAATTACATTAGGCACTGTATGGATATTTCAGCTGTTGGCCAGTTTATTCCCTCAACAACCGATTTTGAGTCGTATTGCTGGTTTGGTTAGCAGTGGACAAGGTGCAGCTTTGGGGTTTGTATCACTAATGAACACGAAAAGAGGAAAGTTGCTTTTCACCTGGACAAGTCTATTCTCTACTGGTCGTTCAGCAGCGAGGTCAAGTGGCCCTAAAAGTGGTTCATCATCTAGCCGATCCAATACAAAGCCTACAAATTCAAGTGATATTCCATTGTAAAATTCAAAGTCTATCTAGCAGTGATTATACACAATCACTAGTCTGTTTATTTGATAATATAAATCAGGTGAAAAGTAAGACTGTCATCTGATCACACTTTAGTCTTAAGATATGTGTCGTATATTTTCCTCTATAATATTGTTTCCTGTCATATTAAATCACTTTATTGTATTACGTAATGACTTATTCCAATCAACGCTTTTTTCTCTTTTCTCTTACTCATATGTGTATTTTTATTCCTACAAAGCTGTTCCAAATAACTTTGTTGTTCTCTTTGGTGCTGCTGACTTCGTGATACTAAATGTTATTATAATTTGTGGTAAATTCATGCGGTAGAATACTTCATATAGTGGTTATCGTGAATTGTCAAATATATATTTCTTTGTTTGCGTTCTTCCTATACCCCATATATGCCCTCCACATACCGAAGTATGGAGTAGTTATTTGCGTTAGATATAGCATAGGGAATTCATTAAAGGCTTGTAAATACACAAATCGTTTGTTTTATAATCTGCAAATAAACGATTTGGGATTCCTGATAAAATGTCTGTAGATACTGAATCGTCAAGCAGAATTGAACTATGGTATTCAGGAGATTACACGAAGTTATTTAAATCCAGTATAAAAGCGGATTCGTTGGATTATTGTCCATATGGGCGCGTACGATTTATGGCAAAAGTCGTTTGCTTGAAAAAAGATGACTAGTGCAGTTATTTTTGTTCAATGATAATGAGGAACATAAACATCGTTTCAAATTCTTGATGTTTACAGATCATCAAGTTCCTGAATCTCTGGATTGTAATCTTGTTAATTAAACAGAGAAGTCAGAGAAACGCAATGAACATACAGAATTAAGCAGTGAAGAAAAATGACGACAAACGGTTACTTTAGGGTACTTAAGCCGCCAGATACTACGTCAGTATTTCCAGGACTTCATTTCGCCAGACCAGGTAGGGATGATAGAACGGTATGTGACTTTGCGGTTGTCTAACAGATTCGAATAGAGTTGCATGGGTCATACATGCGCTCCGTCCGAATGATATTTACTTCTCTTTATATTGTTCAAATAGTCTGGTTTAATTTGCCCTTAACAGATATGCTACGATATATGCAATTAAGTTAAACTGCATGCACACTAAGTGCGTCGAGGGCACAGCGGTTAGGACGCTCGCCGACCATGCACATGGTCCGAGGTTCGATTCCCGGCCGACGCACTCCTTTACCTCGCTAAACCAGTAATAGAGCTGTTAAAGAGGAAAGGTTGGGCTAGCAACCTCATGCTGTAAAAATAAACACTGCTACAGAAACTTCAAGCCTCCAGGTTGAAGCCCCAATGTTCCACTGGGAACGTGAAGGAGAAAAAAACGTGCACACTGCCTCGGCAGATATGTAAACAGGTCACAGCGATCAGTCATTAGCTGTATGCATTTAGAAAACCAGTGAATGGGACTGTCTCTGTTTGACATTGTTCCGTATGTCATTCACCTGATATGCTGAAGAAGAGTACGACCACCTGTGGGAAATTACTTGAGATGCATACTGCTCTGACCATTCACACATTAAACACAGACTAAGGGTACGGAATATCCCTTTCGATGGTTGGGTTTTTATCAGTAGTTATTCTCCTTAAGTAGTGGATTAGGCAGATGCGTGTACCCATATATCACCTACGGTCGTTGATCAAACAATTCATTCTAATTTGTTCACTCACAACTTAGTTTGGTGTAGAAGACCTTATTGAAACGCCAACAACGAAGTGTGCTAGATCCATGAATGTAGCTTTATTCATTGAATCACCGTGCAACAGGAGTGATTCGACTCCTGTCTAGGACATCTAGAAAGTCCAGTTGCCTTAACAACAAGTGGTAAGAAAGAAAGAAAACCATTAAGTGTGGAAACTGTGTATTTACAACAGGTAGGATTATGAATAATGAATTATGTCAAAAACCTCATGTAGTTTCACAATGTGATATATGCAATAAACATATTAATATGGATAAGAATAATATGTAATTAACTAAAAGCCGGTCATTTCTGTTAAAACTATGTTAATTTTCCAGGTAACTGATGCAGTAATTAAGACTAAGGCATATTTAATAGTCAATGATTTGTAAATGAACACAATTAGCTAAGATTCATCACTTAGTATTAGTTGGTATTACTCAGGGTTTGTACTTTAAATGAGAGTTAATTCATTTCATTAAACTTAAATAAGCTTTTAAAAAGATATATATTGTAAGATGATATCGTTTCCTAATTTCTTTGCTATCGCCTTACAACTAGGATGGGATACAGTAATAAAACTTAATGTAATCACTGATATAAAAATTAAAGTACATATTAATAGCCAATAGTATTTTAGTAGGTCAAGTGGTCCGTTGTAAGAAGTGATTGAAGTCTACTCTATTCTGTACGCGTAGTTTTCGATGCATATGGTTGATCCAAACTGCTTCCATCAACTTTAATAAATCTGAATTAATATTATGTGAAATAATTGAGAAACGGATTTAGTGACCAGATATTATTGAATGCATTGTGATGAATAATGCTGGACTTCAAATCAGCTTTCTATGTGACTGAATAACCACCTCTATATGTATTTCCAAAACTGCAGTTGAACTTATACATACAGTGTCAATCCACAGAGTGAGTGAGCTCATAGAATTTCTTCCTTTAATTGCACAAACAAGAAATGAAAATGTTCGAGATGAAAGGAAAAGGAATGTGATGTAGAATGCGTGTTCGATAGTTGACCGTAGCCTCTTGGTTGTCACTTGCATGGGAGTTTGAAAAATTTAGCTTTCATTGGTGCGGAGGCTGTCTCTTAAAGGAGCAATCACATACAATGAAGTTTTCTGGATATCCATTAGCCTACAAAAGTGAATCTTTACACTGCAGCAGATCCATCAATGTATCGCTGGTGCAAATTTTATAAGGTCTTGAAAACAGACATTTCACTGGGGAACTTTTATACGGATATGAACAAAACTGCTGAAATGAAGATATTTTCCACTCTATGTAGTCTTGCGAAATAATTATTGCCTAACTCTCTCTCTTGGTCACCGGAATATCCAGGATATTGAATATGTGATTTAGCTGAAAATCTGAAGTCAACCAAATATTTGGATGAATATGAATAAATGAAGCAGTGAAGCTGTTCATTGACTCTTTGTAGTCACCGATCATAATGGTCTAAAGTTCTAGCGAGAAGTCATGACCGTTGAGGTCTATCCATTTGGGATTGGTGACAAATACTCGCCGATGGTATTGGCTAGTGGTCGCTCTAAAATCTTGAATTGATAGGAGGTAGAATTCAAAGGCTATTGAATGGAGGTCTCAGTTACTGAATGGCCTATGAGCTTTCCTTGTATCTGGAGGGTCCTGGTTTCAAAATACAGTGACTCCCAATCTAAGACAAAACAGATGTTTAGTACTTCCTGGTTTCCAATGGTTCTCTGAATGATATCAACTCGTGATCAAACCTGAAAGAAATCAGATCATTTCAAACTAAATCTTGAAAATATTGATTAATTGTCGAGCGTTTTATTTCATTGTTGTCAACCAGGCTAGTAGTAAAGCGATTGCAAAGAAACTAAAAAATGTTACCATCTTGCATCATTTGTCTCCTTAATGTCTTATCTAAATTTAAGTTTTAAAATAAAACACTAATAGCCTGGCGTCATTCTTTTACCCACTGTAAGTTACTATCTCTCCTGACGGTTACAGAGACTACCGGCAGCTAGTGTGGAGTTCATTGTGTGGTGAATATCAATAATATGATTTTAACTAAGTTATTTTCAGATATTGCCTAGAATTATCAGTTTCGAATGCCGCGTAAATCTCACAAAACAAACTGTCAAGATAATTACCTATGAAATTAATGGGATTTCTTATGTTCTTCTGTCACGAACAGGATATTTACCGATATATGTAAAGTATTTAATGACATGGTGAATTTAATATGGAAAATAATCAGAAGAAAATATCAGAAAGCTGTTTGTTATGCACAGATCTTCAAGAGACAATGTTTAAAATTATTCAAACTGTCGTCAGAATATTGCATTTGAATGGAAACTGAAAGTGTCACTTCATTGCTTCTGATGTCATTTATTACAAGGAGAATTTCTCAATAATTTTATATATAATTATGAAGGACAACTCTGTTCTGATATCTAAAGAGCAGCTTCACAAAATGTGAAATCAGATGCAGTTATTAGTTGGTCTGCTTCCACAGAAATCCATAGACCTAAATTGTTTACATCTTGGGTGGTGATTTCTTCTCCCGGATTCGAATTACTCTTGTCTATTATCTTGATTATAGACTAGCCTTAGTTCACCTTTTCTAACTCTGTGTAACTTACGTTGTCTCGAAACTTAAGGACAACTTAAAATATAGTATCCAGTCTTTAGTTTTCATTGAGGTTTTAGAATATTGGTCGTCTCTAGAGAAGTTCTTAGACAACCAGTTAGATCACAATATTATGTGACGTGTATTCACTTTCCTGTAGGCATATTTCGGTTACAAATATGCTATGATGATGGGTGTTGAAAAAAAACACGAAATTAAGCCTTGAAACTTAAATTTCACCGATATTATGATCCAAACGCTAATCAAACGGGAAGATTAGGTTTACAAATATTTTGGTATATTTTGTCTAAGGGGAAAATTATAATTTTTAATAGTACGATACTGGTGACATTTTTGAGCTTGATATTCTTCGAGTGAGAAGACCGATACTTGAGCTAGAATAACTAAAAATGTCTCCTTGGTCATTATGCATTTCATCTGATCACATTTCATTTAAAAGCTATAACTGTGAGTTCTCTCTCCTAACAAGACTTTACTAAAATAAAACATATTTATGAGTTCCAGTCTCTTTTTCATTTGATTTTGTATTTCCCTTTCGGTTTCAGTGGAAACACCGCCACTCAGTACAAACGAAGGCATATCCAGTTGACGAGTCCCAAATTGAACGGAATGCTTAAAGTGGGCTTCACTG